TATATATATATATAATATATATATTCTATAGCCTTGGATGGCTTGGAACTGGCCTACGAGAAGGACAACTCTGAATTCAAAACCTGCGGAGGGTTGTTGGGGGACCTTGTTGCACTTAGTGCACCAGGTCTCTGAATTCGTCCCTTCAAAAAGAGTGGCTGGTCCTGCACGAAACCTTCACCACTATAATCGAATCTCATGTGCCGGTGTCGGGCTGTCGGTTTCCTGGAAACTGATCTGCTTGACCCTCATACGTCGAATTTGACAGGTGAATCGACTATATATATAATTATTTATTTAAAAATTATAACATAAATATGTTATAAAATCACTACAAAAACAGCTATTTTGATTCAACACCTTTGGTGTCTTATCAAGTGATGATGTTAAATGTAGATTGTAGAATAAAGGTTTTAAAAGGTTCAAATTAATTAACCACCCCTCGCAAGGGGAAACGCTGTTACATGAGCTGAAATGACCAATCAAAATACGAGTATACGAGAATTCAAAAAACTTGACAACGAAGTAAGGTTATAATAACTCTCAAATGCTTTCAAGTTGGGTTTATAATAAAATATAATTTATTCTATCTAATAAGTATTAAATTGTACGATAAAATTTGAAATTAAAATTAAAAACTACCCATTTCAAAAATGTAAATTTAATTTATATTAAGTTTAAAATTTTAAAATTATTGAGGAAAAAAAGAAAAAATACATATGTTATTCTATTCATTTTGTTTCTTTCAATAGAAACAAAATGAATAGAATAACATATGTATTTTTCTTTTACGCTGGAATAAACGTTAAGATCGACTGCCCTTAAATTAATGACAACATTGATGGATACAAATGTAGACATGGGATTATGACATCTTGCGAAAGATAATACAAACACAATCAGATTATAATACGTAAGCACGCAGACATATTTAGATATATACACATACCAAAAAGTGACGAGACAGGAAATATTTGCACGACCTTTTACAAAAAAAAAATTTAAACCACATACATAGACAATGAAATATGCATGCAAGTTACTATACACAGACATGGAAAAAGACACGTACATATACCCACATACATTGACATAGATACTCTGATATAACACTCAAGAAATATTCAAGATTGAAGGTGTTATTAAACGAATTCTAACCACATATTAAAAGATAACTTATACGGGCAAATATACATAGATAAAAATGGTCTAATAGAAACGAAGAATAGGTAAAGAAAGGACATTAAAATAGATATATACGTATAAAAATAACACCATCTAATATATAAAAAAAGAAAATTCCAAACACACATATACGCCTTATTGTACATTAGGTGAAAGAAAATAAGAACTGCCTACAAACATATGTGTACAGTGTACACACATTCATCACTACAGACAGAAGTATAGAAAAGCCAACCTATAGACAAACATATACACACATATATACATATACACGCATACACACATACACATATATATATGTATCGACACATATACACACATACACATACGCATACGCATATATGCACATATAGAAGCAAGCAGAAATATATTAACCTACACAGCAACTTAAAAAGGTAAACAAACCAAATATAAATATATATACACACATACACATACATACATATACATATATATATACACACACACACACACATACATAAATATATGTATGTATATATATACATATATAATCTTAAACATACATATATACAAACACATACAAATACACGCATATATATAAAAAAACAAACGGAGACTTAAACATACACATATATATATATACATAAATACACACGCATAAATAGGTATATACATAAACCTACACATATTCTAACAATATTATCCTATTGACGATAAATTACAGTAGTCCATAATAATTTGAAAATATAACAAGACACAATTGTTGATTAAGTCTATAAGCAATTAACAAACCTTTATTAAACAAAAGTAAGTTTTAGTTAGTATAGATGATACATTCCCAGACACTAAAATATACATACATATACGAAGAAATACGAATATACAATCACATATACAAATATATAATTATGCATAAATACCCATATCAACACATCCACATATACACAGATATAAGTCTGCACACATCCAACCATATATATATATATATATATATATATATATATATATATATATATATATATATATATATATATATACAAATACGACAATATATACATATACATGTATACACATCTACACATACACACGCACCCGTAGATACAAACCAAAGTTTACATACCTACACCTACACACAAACAAGCTCACATATGATAGGTGTCCACACACACGCACAAACACATACACACACACACACACACACACACATATATATACATATATATACATACATATACATACCTATAATTACAAGTATATATATACGCCCATACACATAAACACATACATACTCAACTATATACATACATATCCATACATAAACATATATACACATACATACACATATATACATGTATACCTACATAAATACATAAACATATCCATACATATAGAAGTACACGTAAATAGAAATATATACGTAAATAGAAATATTTATACACAATACATCTGGACATATATGTATATACCTATATATACATATATTTTATCCTCCTCTCCTATTCTCCTCATTTTACATACTTACTTTTAATATATATATATATAAATCCTACTTACATATATATACACATCCAGCAGTACAAAAACACACACACACACACATACATACACACACATACAGACATGAACAACACAGTATAAGTATACCAACACACACCCATATCAACAGGGGGACCATCAGGTAATAAAAATAATAACCTATTAAATTTACAATGATATATCATTATCATTGAAAGTATTACAGCCCCTATAATACGTTAAATTTATAACGGTGTTTACAGTTAACTGTTAGTTCATATCTTTGATTTAAGAGATGGGTCTTATTTTTAAATCTAATTATTTCAAATTTTTCGTTAAGACAAAGATAATATGGGGCATATAAGGAGTTACATGTCCGGGCTTTCCTGATTAATTTCCATTTAACAGCAGGTGTTTTATTCTTTTCTTTTAGACTCCAAAATACTTGGATAATGAAGTCATGTACTTATAATTACTGTTATTAAAAGATTGCATATGCCCCCGCCAACGTTCCTTGAATGGATTCATGGTACTACCAATGTAGAATTTTTTTATATTTGGGTTTTCTTCTGTAGAGATTGTACTAAGATAAACTACAGAACTAGTCAAACAATTATTTTATAGTGGACAATTATTTGGATTCCTACAATTGCACAAGTTGTTATTCGTGCCATTATACTTAGTAGTGCTTCTTGCAACCTGGGGAGTACTCAAGTTTTTTGAGTCCCTATCCTTGTTAAAGACTCTGTTGTTATATTTTTTAATTATTTTCTCTGGGTTATTCGCAAAACTATAGCTTAATTTCAGGGTATTAGAATTAAATATTTTAATAAGTGGGTTAGTTTCAGGGTTGGGGAAATGTTTC